AATGGCAAACTTCCCCTTCTAAATTTTTTTAAAAACTAGGTTTTGTTCTATGAAAAAGAAACCAATAGCTGTCTTACTATAGAACTACATCAAATAAATCATATAAGAGAACTCTTTTTTTCTTCAGATTTATGTCTACTATAGAGTGCAAAATTGAACTTCTCCAATTAAATGGAAAGAAACCGCAAGGCCCATCTGACATTCCATCATGGGCTATTAAAGCTGGTTGCATGAAACCTACACGCATCTTTCTTTTTTTTCAATGAATACCTGAAAAAAAAAACAATCTTTTTCCACAGAAACTTAAAGCAATTGTCACGCCAATATAGAAAATATTGATAGTGAGGAAACTGAAAACCATAAGCTTATCTTATTTACAAGAGTACTATTAAAAACTTTGAAAAAATTTTACATTCTAGAAATAATGAACATCTGTTATCTTGAAATTTTTAAGCAACACACATTTTGATTTTCTGATAGCCAACAATTGATGCTGTTCTGTTTCGCACGAAATCATTTGCAAAATCGATTGTTACCAACAATATTTTTGTACTTGCTCCTTAAAAGATTTCTCGGAAGCATTTGATTTTATTGACCAAAAATTGACCATTTAAACAAAAACAAAAACAGCAAAATTTTTCTGAACCTGCTATAAACTTGATAGATTCTTTCAGAGGCAACAGAAAGAAAAGCAGGAAATTATACTGGTTCGGACTGGATCTCACTTTATCAAGTTGTCCTACAAGGCACTGTATTTGGACCTCTCATTTTCAACCTGTACATCAATGAATTTCTCAAGCAACTTTCTAACTCATGCAAAGTAGTTCAAAATGCAGATGGCACATTTCGTTTCTGTGACGATAGAAACATTGAGATTGCACTAAGAGAACTTGAAAAAAAGCAACTCTTATCAAAAACGTTCTGGAGACACTTACTCTTTTTTAATGCTAAAAAATCAAAGCTTATCAACTTCATTAGAAAACGTGTAAAAAAAACAAAAAAAAGTACACTTGTTTTAAAAAAAATTCTAATAAATTGAAACACTACAGTCAATCAAACGCACATTCCTATCATATCAACACTACTACTCATGAATGAACTCCTTATCAGTCACAAAATTATCAATCTCAGTAGAAAAACAATCAAGCTGAGAACTAAAACTTGTATTGATCGTGCAAAATTTAATTTATTATCTGATCTTGACTGGAAAGTAATTTGCCATTTCTGGAGAATAAAGCACCTCTAATAATCTGCTTGCAAAAAAATTCTGAAAACAATCACAGAATTTGAAAACAATCAATAAACTTGAACAGAAGAAAAAGAGTTTATATTTATTCGAAAGATTTAATGGGCAATACAACAGAAGTCCTTTTTAAAAAAGGAATCAGTAACAATTTGGAAGATAATTCATGCCGACAGTGTCATTTTCAAGAGAAATATTACCCACAGAAAACCTTCTGAGAGAAAATCTTTCGAGATTTTTTACCTACTTTCATTTAAATAAAATCCAACAGTGGCAAAATCTCGTGGAAAGATTTCAAATTTTTTTAATTTAAAATTCTCTAGGTTGCGATAGTACGAAGAAAATTCTGGACGTTTATAATTTTATATTCTGCTGTATTTGACAATCATAATCATAAACTGACATACACCTGTACACTTGAAAATACTTTAAACTCAAATATTGTTTTTCTTTGCAAATCTCAAAACATATTCAACGTTTTTTTTATTTGTTACTTTTATGGGATTAAGGGAATTGAAAATAAAAATTCTCAACGTTTTTGCACATTTTGCATCATCAAGTTTGAAAGAATCAAATTTTCAAAAAAAGATGATCAATCAAAGAAATATCCTAAGGCAAAGGCATTACAAAATAATGGAAATTTTAACAACCAGAAGTTTACAAATTTCCAGTTCGAGCCAAAATTTTATCGTGATTATATCATCAGACTTAATTTTCTGAGAGATTTTACTAATTTTAACTGTAAATTAACTTAAAATTAAATTTAATTTTTTTATTTGTCTCATTTTCCAATTTCGAAACATGTCAGTTTTTTATTTCGAAAACTATTTGTTTTTGTATAATTTAAGGGTCATTTTTCTGCTCCTGAACTCATCACGCGTGTTTGTTCTCGGTCTCTTCTTCCAGATGTGAAGTGCTTCTAATGTCAGTGGCTTGACGTTGGTGGTAGCCTGGTCTATAACGTCACATGACAATCCGCGCTCGTGTCCTCATTTAAACTTTGCTTTAGATATTATCCTACAGGCGAGTCGTCTTTTTGATATTCGTCAATTCTAGTGGTTAGATAATGAAAATAGGTGGAGTTACTTCCACAACATGAAATCTTGTAAACCACTTTTAATTTTAGTTCACGCGAAAAAGAAAACTTTAAGGATGGCAGGCAGGTTATCAGCTTTCTGGTGTTGAAAACAATTGGTGCCTTGATTATGTTCAGCACCTTATTTGCAAATATCAGACTTTAATTGCCTCGGTACTGCAATACCATCATAGGTGGTTTGTCTGTGTTAACAATACTCGCTTCATGTAGGTCCTTCCAAGGGCCCTTGTTGACTTTTCAATTGATGAGTTTGTCAAGGGTCCATGAAACAATTTTATCAGCCAAAGATTCTGGGTATTGCTTGTCCACCCATTGATTTTTATCCTCACTGGACATATTCCAAGCGAGGTGCTTCTAAAAATTTGATGAATTGCTCCTTAAATTATTTTCATATCATAATTACTCCAATTCTTAGGTTTGATTACAAGAAAGTTTCGTAAAATGGGTAACAAAAATAAAAGACGTCCACGTTAACTTAAAAAAAAGGATTGTCCCTGTATCAGTACTTTTTTGACAACATCCACGCGTACGTTTTTACGTTTGTCCATGTTATATTTACAGACACTGAAGGTTTAATCAAAAAACTATTTCAGAAAATAAATCCTTCAAATTGTAATCTTTTTGCTCAATTAACAACTTGATGCTTTTCGGAACAAAATTAACCCAAAACTCTTCAAAAGTTGAAAATTTTGCCAGTTTCCGAAGCAGGAAAAAACTGAATGCACAAGGCACAATTCACAGACCATTATCTTTAAAAAAGGTGGTGTGTTAATTCATAGAAAAGAAACACTTAGCAATTAGTTTAAACACTTTCTTGACAAAACACGCTGTATTTTGCAAAAAACCAATTTGGATACAAAAATAACAGTCAATTGCTGATGCTGTATCGCAGGTTTTAGTTATCATAAGAGAAACAGTGGGGTCTAAAATGGACTCGCTATTGTTTTAATTGATCTCTCAAAAGCGTTTGAAACGGTTGAACAGAATTAATAAACTAACGGGCTAACGGACCACTGTTAAAATTAATGAAATCCTACTCATCAGACAGAGACCATTTTGTGATGGTGAGAAAAAAGGTCCAAAACAGAATTAACTAATTGGAGTTTCCACTTTTGTTAATTCTGGGACCATTTTAAACAATTTTGTATTTGAAAGACTTACCCAATGTATGTCAACACAGTAAGGTGATAATGTTCGCCTTTTCTTTTTCTCTCGAATAATTTTCTCTCAAAAAATTACAAAAAAATAAGTTATGTTTGTACAAAACACTCGAAGACACATTTATTAATTGAATTTTGATGAAACCAATTGAGTCAATTTTCACATCCAATACCTTTCCATCTATACGTATTTTTTTTCCTGCTTTCTGGACAAATGCCATTTAGATCTACCGTTTTTTTTTTTGCAAATTTTGGGAATCTTTTCCCTCGATACCTGTTCCAGCTTTTGCATCCAAAAATTTGCCAGTATGACTGCAGGAGAGGCTCCCATAGCCAAATCGTCCTTTTGTGTTTACCACCAATCATTGCACTTAAATAGCAAGACCTACAGCAAGGTTTAGGAAACTCTTCATAGTTTTGCGAGCAATGTCCGGAGGTTTCTCCTGCCATAAAGTTTTCTGAGTGCAACTTCGACAGCCTCTTTGTTTTGAGCAGTAGTGTTAAGTTTTTAAACTCTTAAAGATCATTACTCAATAGTATCATTTAACAAGACCATTATGCATAAAAGACAAACTTTATATAAGTATTTGAGAATTATCACGATTGTGACATTCGACCAAAATGACCGAAAATGCATATCAACAACGACTTTTTATTTGAAGCAGTTTGGCGGTAGAATTGACTGTTTTGGACGATTAACAGTGTTAATCATTCAATTGAACGTATTCGGAGAAGTCAATTTGGATCGAGGAATTTAATTTCAAATTTTCGAATTAGGTGTGCATGACACCTACCAATTTTATATTTCGCGTTAACTGAAGAAGCGCGAAAATTGGGACAACGATTTTCACTTAGACAAAAAGACGTGTGACTAATATAGCGAACGACAGAAATTTATTTCATGAATATTCGAAGAAGAGCGCTCCGAGTTGTAACGATTGTACATCTACAATCGTTACCGAGCAATTGCCGAGAATCCAGAGGGCTGTCGGGAGGATTTTACTACCCTTCCTGCTCGTCAAGAAGACAGATCTTCGTCCGGATTCAAGAACTATCAGATTCACTATCAGATAATTAGAAGCTGGGGGTTGAGGGAAAGGGTGGATCCATCTCCGATGGATATGATGATTTTTATCTACTGAACAATAGCAATATTATATAAGGAGTAGACCTGTTTCTAGGAGTGACCTCGTGGTCTGGGGATTTTGAGACCCAGCTATGAGCTCACTATTTCTGTATGTAACTAAGTTAATTTGCGCGGTTTGGCCGTTAGCCTTTAAGTTGTAACGACTTTGTCGACCCATTGTTAGTGAACCACACATTGAACTGGCTTGGTAGAGATGATCAAAAGCATGTGAAGCTCTCATAACACGCTAGCCAGTCGTTTTAGAACCTAGCTTAACTTTCTGGCGACTGTTACAGATCTCATCGATTGCTCTGATTTTCTATTTTTTCAGGACTATCTATGTAAATATTGTGAAAATGAATCGAATTCATTTTCTAAAGCCAACTGAATTGTATTATATTTCAGGACTATCTATGTAAATATTGTGAAAATGAATCGAATTCAATTTCTAAAGCCCACCGAATTGTATAATATTATTCAACAGAGATCACGCTATCCTTCCGTATCTGATAACAATTTCCTGTTAATATTAGGTAGTTAAAATTGAACACAAATCAAGGATATTTAAGAATGAATGTAAACCAAACATCTATGAAGTCTGTTCATTTTAGATGCTAGGTCAGCTGCTGAGTATGCCGAGTCCCATATTATAACGGCAAAGTTGGCCCCTCGCCAAGATGTAAGTTTTCATTTTTGGTTCGGTTTTTAAAAATTTGTTCTGCATATTTTATTTCCGCTCGTATTCTAACGACACCTAGTTGATTTTTGCGCTTAAAATTGGCAAACTTGATACAAATTGCATACTGAGCTCAATGGATTTGATTGGACGGGATTTAAGTTCAAATTGATGAGTACCTTTCAAGACGAAGAGCGTTATTCAAAGTTAACCTAAATTCAATTTTTTCTTTGAGTAATTGCTCACTGTATTTGTTTTAAACGTTTCCTCAAATTAAATAAGAAATCATGCGATAATTGCTAACAGTATTTTTTTTAAACGTTTCCTGAATATAAATAAAAAAACATACGGTCCGATGGACATAATCTCAGTTTCATATCGAGCCACGACGCTTACTATTTGTAAACGGGAAACACTAATTCACTCAAATTTTTGTTTTCTGAGTTTTGTGAGGAGTTTTGTGTTCGGGGGAGTTTTAGTTTTTCAGATAATTTTTTTTGTTTTTTTTTTTCAGGAAGTGTCAAATATGTTCACGATCAAATTTGATTTTTCGAGGTTTGAACTTTTGATTTCTTTTTAATTTAGTTGATTTATTTGGTTAAAAGGAAGGCAAACTGCACAATCGAACAGCAAAAGTGTTAAGTTCACGAAAAACGAGGTCCACTTCTAGTTTCGATTGTAGTATATAATTTTCAGATTTCCGAGCAGAAAAAAAAATCTTTCCATTGAAATTTTTTTCAAATTGAGATAATTTTATCCTAAATGTGCAAATATCAATTGTTTTTGAAATTCAAAGAACTTGAAGGCCATCTATTTGTTTTGAAAATTGAGTGTTGATTTTTTTTTCAAAAAAAAAACGAAGTATTTCTTCTGTTTCCTTGCGTTCGTTGACTCTTTTCCAACTGTCTGTTGGCTATTTTTTTCTTATTTTGTTCTCAGGTACCACAAAAATTTGTCGGAAGGGCTGACTGATGTATCATTTTGAAGCCCTTGCAGTCCTGATTCAGATCATATTAAAAAGTCCAAAAAATCCTCAGCTCAGAGAGAAACCAGTATAAATTTTTAATATTTTATCTAATTTCGAGCAAATAAAACGTGCGAGCAAGTATATAATACAGAATTAATAACCAAAAAATGTTCTGCAAATTTTTTTGTCGATTTATTTTTTGATTAAAACTTTTTCAAACTTGCGTATTGATTGTACTCTTACTATCGATTGTACTTAGTTTCTGGGTTTTCTTTCAGATCCGATCTAACGAAGAAAAAGCATCTCAATTTGCGAACAAAAATGCACCGCTATCCCTGTTTAATTTTGTTTTAGTCAGGTCCACTCGATTTTTGGTGCCTCAAAGTAATCGTGTAGGGGGTTGAGTGAGTTATCATGTTTAAGTGCTATTAGCCATTATTTCGATTCCAAAAAATGCAAAGAGTTGATTTGGAATTCGAAAAATACAAATTTATCAGGATTTTTCCGTCTTTCAGACTAATTTACACTTAGGATGGTTTTCGTGTTAATTTGACATAATTTATTAATATATTTCACATTAAGCAGATTTATATAATATTGAAAGAAATTAATTTTAAAAATATAAATTTACCAGTTGTCGCTGTTACGAATTGCGTTCGCCTGTTCTGCAGTGTTCGAAAATTAGATTCCGAATGATTTTTTATTGCAGATCGCGTTATCCGATCCACTAGATTTCTTGGTTAAGTTCTGATCTTACATATTATTCTGGATGGCTCTATCCTTTTCTTGAATGTCTCAAACACCAAATTCTTGGTTCATTGAAATAAAAATTCATCGGGAAAAGGCCAGCCGATATATAATTAGACCGAAAACGAGGAACGTATTAAGTCAGCCAAATAGTGTTTATGCTGTAACGAAAAGTTTTTTTGGCTGGTTTAACTGCGGCTGGTTATCTACCGCCTTCTTATGGAGTTGAAATTGATGTTGCGTTTGTAGGATGGACAATGGAAAGTTCCCTACGAGGCAGAGTTGGAGTGCAAGGAACACATTGTGGTCTATGATGGACACTCGAGATCAAGAGACGCGAGCGAAAGTGAAGATGAGTTGAATGCGATCCAGTTGGCCAAATTCTTAGTCGCACAAGGCAGCAAAAACCCAATACAAATCGCAGATGGTAAACACTTACACCCTCCCTCCTTACAATCGATTTGGAGTTAGAAAATAGTGGTTTTTCAGAAATACAGCTTTACGAACGGGACAGTGATATTTTAAAAAATATATGTATCAAAAAGTTTCCATTAAGACACTGAAGTATAAAATAGAAATTTTCCAAGCTACAATTTACATTGCCAAAATTTAAATTAATTCTAAATTAATCTACATTTAAAAAATTCGCGTTTCATTTCGTTTTTAGCGACTTTTTGTTGTGTTTTTAGAACCACTTTTGAGTGTGTTCTAGGGAGATTTTGAGGCTGAGTATCGCTCATGCTGTACTTGGATACATTGAAAACGCAACATCAAAAAATTAGATCCCGAAAAATATTTCCTACATGACTTTCAACACTCTGCGAAAGCCATATAGTTTGCTTGATGATCAACGAGAGAATTAGAATGCCCGCACTTTTGTGCTAAATATATATTTTTGGTCAATAATCTTAAAAAGACGTGGTCGAAAATAGAAACAGTTTTCAATCATTAGTGTCCGACACTTTTTTTTGCATCCAAAGTTTTCTGCGGTTTTTTCGTCTTTTATCTTCTGTGTGCTCATTGCTGGATTTTTGAACACCGAGGTTGTTCAGGGTCATTTAGACTATCCAAATGATTCGAAAAAAAGTTTGAATATTGAAGAAATAAAAAAAAGGATATGCTTCAGGTGGATACGAAGATTTTTCCAAGCTGTACCCATTTCTCAGAACTAAGAAGATACTCTACATGCCCAAGGTAAGTGTATATCTTTCTCCTATCGGCAGACGGCTGACAAAGGGCTATCATTGATGAGCCTAAGGATCATTCAAGATGCTCTAAAAATATCTGCATTTTTAAAATGTGGGTTCTGGACTTTAAATACTCAATTAATAATAAAACTTGAGTCATACCTGTCATACTCAAGTCATACCTGTATATCTTTCTCCTATCGGCAGACGGCTGACAAAGGGCTATCATTGATGAGCCTAAGGATCATTCAAGATGCTCTAAAAATATCTGCATTTTTAAATTGTGGGTTCTGGACTTTAAATACTCAATTAATAATAAAACTTGATTTGAAGTCAAAGACCTGTCAAATTTACTGGGTATTGTATATTTCTTCATCGAAAGTTTTCATAACCTGTTATTCGGTCATTTTCCCTCGTCAAATATAATAATTGACATTTAAAGTTGGTTGCCCTAACTATTTAAAGTTAGTTGCAACCAAGTATCACAGAAAATTATTGGAACTCCCAAATCAATTAGCGTGTTCGCAGTTTTTGATACCAGCAAAACAATAGCTCAGGACTATGTTCAATCAATGAGTTTTTAAACATGAATGCTTCGACTGTTTCGGTTCGGTCATTGGTGCAGGAGGTCAAGATTGACTGATCCGGGCTAGCTTAACGAAGCTGAACCGTCTAAAGATCGTCTATCTGATTTCTAATGGATGTGAAGTCAAGAGATGGGTTTACATACTCAATGGCCTAGAAAAATTATTTAAAACTAAATGAGCTACGTAAGAAGCTATCAGACTATTCATTGAATTATCGTCAAAGATAGTTAAAAGATTAAAAAGTGGCAGTTTTGTTCAAACGTGCAAAATGAAATGATTCGAGGTGCAATTTAACATTGAGTAGTTATGCTATAACATGTTATATCTCATAACTTAGCAGCCTTGATTTCAGCATCGAGATGAATCGAGCTACGACGCAAGTAGAGTAGGTCCTGCCTTGGCCTCGCTGGCTAAGCAGGGTCCAATTGGCGACTGGAGGTCTCGCCAGTTTTACAAGAACACTCTAGTAACAATTGTCTTTCAGTCTCTTTAGATCTACAAACTGTTATTCTATTTTTCTTTTTTTTAGATTAATGCTCAATGAAATAGTAAAACATGAAAGAAATCGAAAATTAGTTTCGGTCGAGAGCCATAAAAAACTTCTCTGATAGCGAGATGGTAAAAGGCAATTTAAGTAAAAGTAGCGTTGTCAGTTCTCAAAATGTACAACAATTCAACCCTTCTAGTTTTCATTTGGCCTAGCTTCATTTTGATCCGAGGAGACCTCTAAAGGGTCCTCTACAAAATCCTATCAATGAAAACTGCATTTTTCTAATGATCGTGTGTGATAGAAGTTCATAATGTTTGAGGAGCTGGACGTGATTGTGACATATCCGACTGAGATCATACCTGGACAGTTGTACATGGGCAGTGTGGAGCAGGCTCTGAACAAGCGAATCCAGAAGGACCTCAAAGTGAGAGCACATGTCGCTGTCACGAACGAAAACGAGACATAGTGAGTAGCACGTAGCACTGTTTAGGTTTCACTCAGTCCCAAACTTCTGCATAATTGGCGAGTTTTGAGAATATCGTTTGAGGCAAAACTGAGTTTGAGGCGTTCAAAAGAATCTTTAACATATTTGAGTGCTTGCCTGTTTTTTGGGTGTGTATGCTAAGTACAACTTTACTGCTGTGTTTGAATCGCAACAAATTTGTTTCTGATATTTTCACTGATTTAAGAATTCTGTTTAATGCTTTGACGCAGTTCTCTAATGAAGTTGTTTCTGTCTCTTTTCAGTTTTGCCACCGATTCGGATAAATTGTGTCGAGTTGGGATAGAAGACGAAGTTGGAAGCGATCTACTCTCGTGTCTCGACGCTGTCTGCAAGTTTATTGGTGAGAACTATCAAGCCTTTCATTGAACTGATTAATTGCAAACAGTTCAAATGAACTAATGTCAGAATTATTATTTTATAAGGTATTCCTGATGGCCGAATATTGTGGCCTCAGAAAATCACAAAGCTCAGGGGCAGATCTAGGTTTTTCTCGAGGGGAGGGGGGTGTGATCTTTTTGCAGTTTGTAGAAAATTTTAACCAAATTTGTGTTTTTTTTTGCGCGCGCTCTCCTTCAAAATTAGTATCTCGATTTTAGGAAAGATTTTAGGGTTGGTGGGCATAAAATGGACGGCATAAGATATTACCAAAGGATGGACCCTTTAGTTGGTGAGAAGGTCAAATCCCTGAGAACAGCAAAATTTTTTGGACAAAATCTTTGTTTCTGAGTTGCATCTGTTCGTCCTATCGTTATTACACTAGCCGGCATGCGAGCGTAGTGTATTAGTATGAACCTTCTTTCCCCCAATCTAACTCGCAAATAAAAGTGCTCATTTGGTGGCTCTTTTGCTTTAGTTACGATCTGTAGCATTAGAAATATCATAGCATCTGTTGTCTGCTTTATTTGTAGCTAGTGGTTGACGATTGTTAATTGTGCGTAGCTGAGAGATTAGCGCGTGAGATATTTAATCTGTTCTTCGGAGGTTTGAATCCGTAGCGTGGCAAAGTCGTTCAGGCTTATTTCTACTTTTTTCTTTCTTATTTCATTTTATTGAGCTGCTTTTTGACGCGCAGCTTCGACTCTGTGTCACTGGTTCCATCAAAATAAATTTTCAACAGACAGGTAACTCAAACAAGGTTAGCTGGGCTACTGTGCACATAGCACAGAATATTCCGACTATAAAAATACATTTTTTTAAACCTAATAATGTCGTTTTTTCTCTGGGCTGATAAAATTATGAACGAAAAATTAGAAATTAGGCATATTCGGCAAGCATAGTATAAAAACCAGTTGGAAAACAGTTTTGGTAGAAGAAAAACTTACTTAAAATAGTTAAAGAATTTTTTTTATTCCCAAAATGGCGCTTAAAACTCCAAAAACTAATATGATTTGAGATTTTTGTTTTAACAATTTTTTCGGTTTTGAAAAACTCCCCTCCATGAGCAGCTACGCCCAAAATTTTTTTAACCTAAATTTATGGTCCTCGGAATAGTGAATTTAATTGTCTTTTTTTGACCGTTTTTTTTAAATCTTTTTTGACTTTTGTCGAAAACTAGCCTCATAAACCTGAGTTTGTGGCTTCAATGGAGATAAAGGGCGTTGTTAAGCTCCCATGTCACAGCGGTCACTCACAAATTTTTTGATATCCTCAGAAAAGTCGATTTTTTGTGCGTTTTTTTAAACTTAATGAATTTTACCGAAAAATACCTTCCCATATCTGGAATTTTGATTTCAATTCAAAAAACGGGTTTTGAGAAGCCCATATGCATACCCGAATACGCCCAATTTCTTTGACCCAAAAAGTTTTGGCCCTCGGAAAAGTCAAAATTTTTATATTTTTCGACGAATTTTTGACTTTTCTCGAGAAATACCTTGCCAAACTGGGTTTTTGGGTTCAGTCAAAATTGCAGGTTGGGTGAATTTCTTCTGCATAAGCGGCTTATCCCTTTTTCTTCGAAAACAAAAAGATATGATTCTTGGCTATGATTCTCCAATGAAGTAACTGGAAATGGCGCGAAGTAACATGACTGATTTTTAAGATTCACTTGTCGGATCCAATTTTTCAGTTTTTTCTGCGGAATAAAAAAGTTATCTATTGACCCAATGTTCAGAAAAGATTCGTTTTATCCTAAAAGCTTTAATTTGACTTAATTTTTCTGAGTTTCGAAAGTCGAATAATAGCAAAAACAGTGTCAATTTGTTTTCGGTGTCCCTGCGTTCATCGAGACTTTTCAAACTGTCTGTTGATTTAATATTATATTCAATCTGGTAAATTTTTTTCTAGATGATCGATTGGAAAATTCTGACGTCGTGTTGATCTATTCTGACCTGGGCATCAGTCGCAACAGTGCAGTGGCACTAGCATACCTTGTGTACAAAGAGAAATGCACGCTCCGAGTATGAACAAATGAATTGCACTTTTTAATTTTTATCTCAATAAGGCGGTTAACCTAATCGAATAATTTAAATGGTTTTTTAGGTGAACGATCCAAATTTGTAGAAATTGTCGAAATTATGAAAAAATAGTGAGATGCTTACACTTGATTAGTAGAAATCAAACATATGGCCAAAATAGTTAGATAGGATCTTGTTAACTATTACCCCACCCCTAAGAATCCCCCATAAAGAAAGAATTGAACAGTTAAGCTTATGCGAATTTTGTACGTTGTTAATTATTTCCTCCCCTATTGGGTTGTTAAACAGATCTAAGCTAAGTTCTTTATTGATTTGTTTGTTTTTTCAGGAGGCGTGGAAAGCTGTGCTCAAGTGTCAGAAAAGCACTCGACCGAATAGAGGCTTCATTAAGCAACTATCCCAGTGGGAGGAGAAAGTACTTGGAGAGAGAAAAACAGACATAGAAGATCCCGCTTTCTAAATCAGATGTCATTCTTCTACCTCTGAACTTGGAACAATTATTCTAAGTAGACCAGCTTTAAGTACAAAGATACAAATCACTAAAAACCCGAGAAGAGTCTGGTCTGTTTCAAGAACTGAAGTCTAATGTGAATAGTTCACTTATATAGTACTGTAAAAATTTGTATGTAAATAGCTGCATAATATGTACATAAATGAATTCATCGAATTAGACTTTTTCAAACTTTTTTTGCATTAGTTTGGATAGTTTGAAAAACAACATTTGACAGACTTAATTGTGATGCATTTTAAATCTAAGTATGAACGCAATTGAGGAGTAATCGGATTTGTGCTTGTCGTCCTTTAAGTGCATAATGAAGACCAAACCTTTTACTTCATAGTAATTTAAACTACGTTTAGGTTTGGATAAACGGCAGAACATTGAAGAGCTGAAAACTTGTCCGGCGCGAATAGATGATAGTTTTTTGATTATTCTGCTTCACTAGCGTATATTTGGTTACCTTTTTTTCAAAAATCATGCTTACATGTCTTATCAACAAGTCTTATCGCTTGACTTCTGTTCCCGTGATGATCAAAGTTGAAGTTATTTGTAAACCAGGAAGGTAAAAACAAACTTAAGAAAATGAATCCAATCAATATATTTTGTAGATGAGTCGAACATGTTCGAAGAAACATCGAATTCTATTTATTCGTTTTTGGAGCTCACGCTTGCAAGTAGCAAGCTGTATCAAACCGCAGTTTTTAGACCGTGGAGTCGGGACAATTTTTTTTTCAGTTTCCACAGAATCTTTTGTAGAAGTAAAATAAACTTTCAAACGCATTTTCAATGCTCAATACTTTTTTTCCCGTAAGCAACTTTTCCTACAAATCTTGCTTCATTTTTTGTTCCTGAACAACTTTTAGATTCCTTCCCGTTTGACCTAGAAGTAAGGCCGGCGACTTTGCGTCCTGAAGTACTTCGGACTTTCGTTTGTCTGATCAAGCTTTGTCGGCTTAGTTTTCCGATCACAGATTTTTTTGTGCTCCAAAAACTTTCCTTGTAGTTGCAAGTGAGAGTGTTGTTCATTGTACTTTTAGGGAGACTTGAAAATACAGTTTTTTTATAATTTTTTTTGGCTCAAGTGGTGTCTGCTCAAAGATTGTTGTCTTAGTTACTACATCACAGACTTTTTTTGTTCTCTAAGCAAATTTCATTGTAGTTGATTTCAATTTTTTTCGAAACTTACGAAAATTTATTTCTTGAAACGCAATTTTTTCATTTTCTTTACTTTTTTGTATGTTTGCGTTGTATAGCAATTGGTGCGAAGCTTTGCTTCGCCTGTGTAACTGTGCAGCTAATTAGGTTAAATATTTTTTTTGTAAAACTTACTGTTTTTGAAGAGTTTTTTTAAATTATGCAATAATTTTTTTTATCTGTTCATTTTCCTAGTAGTCATAAAAAGCAATGATTAAAGCCGTATGCCTCAAAATAATCGAAGTCGTTTTTCTGCTTGAAAAAATTGAAACCAAAACTGAGTGTAAATGATATTATTTTTTTGATTTTGTGAAATGCGATTTTTTTTTCTATATTTGTCGGAGAACGTGTCGTTAATACTTCTGTTAGTGATTGGAAAGTCTGGAAGATACCTTCAGATAACTTTTTTGTTCCAATTTTTGGAAAAACATAACTTTTTATTCGAGTTAGTTTTATTTTTTCATTTTTTGACGCAAAATCAGGTACCACAAATAATCAATTAAATTTGTCCAGTGATATATTATTTTAAAAGGCTTGAGTCTTCATTCAAACGACAAGAAAAAATTGACAACGACGGTCTAGTCTTTCAAAGAACCAACAGTCTTTCAAAGAGTTGCCTCAGTATTGGTAGAACGGGTTTAAAATTTTTGGTTGCTAGTCCTAATTCGAGCAAATAAAGCGAGAGAGCTGGCTTACAATACGTTATTTTAATAATATAAAAGCCACAGTAGCCTAAATTAAGCCGTGAAACCTCAAGTAAGCTCGAGTAAAGTTAGGTTTTTGAGATTGTAGCACCCATCGGATTCAAAAACTAAAAAAATCTAAAAAAACGGTTAATTTTTCCGTTTTATTTGTATTTGCTGATTTTATTTGGCTGATTTTACTATATCTGTCGAATATTTTTTTGTTCAGTTCTTGATTTCATCGCGCAGAAAAAGCGACACTACTTAAAAAAAATGCTGTATTTTTCTTAACTATGATCGGATTTTGTACTACTGTCCTTATTTTTCGATTCTTTTGTTCTATTAGTTTTTTTCTCGTAAAATATAAAAAAAACTAATAAACAAATAAATATGAAAAACACGTGAAAAATGTGAAGGTTATAATTTAGGACCGCGTGTATCTCTTTAGTTTTCTAATGAAATGTCCTTTTCTGGTTTTATTGTGGATCTTGCCAAAAAAAATTTAAGTTTTGTTAATCTTCATGATTGAAATTGAGGCAGATCTTTGGACTGTTTCATCCGTCTGCAATATATATAAATATTTAAGTCGCCTCTGGAATTTTTGATAGGCGATTTTTTGTAGTTGTTTCAATTTTCACCCTGCAATTGGATTACACTTATTATCTTAAATGGTGCAAATTTCACCCTGCAATTGGATTACACTTATTATCTCAAATTGTGCAAACTTGAATTGTGCAAAATTGAAATCAAATTTCATTGTAGTTGATTTCAATTTTTTTCGAAACTTACGAAAATTTATTTCTTGAAACACAATTTTTTCATTTTCTTTACTTTTTTGTATGTTTGCGTTGTATAGCAATTGGTGCGAAGCTTTGCTTCGCCTGTGTAACTGTGCAGCTAATTAGGTTAAATATTTTTTTTGTAAAACTTACTGTTTTTGAAGAGTTTTTTTAAATTATGCAATAATTTTTTTTATCTGTTCAGTTTCCTAGTAGTCATAAAAAGCAATGATTAAAGCCGTATGCCTCAAATTATTCGAAGTCGTTTTTCTGCTTGAAAAAATTGAAACCAAAATTGAGTGTAAATGATATTATTTTTTTGATTTTGTGAAATGCGATTTTTTTTTCTATATTTGTCGGAGAACGTGTCGTTAATACTTCTGTTGGTGATTGGAAAGTCTGGAAGATACCTTCAGATAACTTTTTTGTTCCATATTTTGGAAAAACATAACTTTTTATTCGAGTTAGTTTTATTTTTTCATTTTTTGACGCAAAATCAGGTACCACAAATAATCAATTAAATTTGTCCAGTGATATATTATTTTAAAAGGCTTGAGTCTTCATTCAAACGACAAGAAAAAATTGACAACGACGGTCTAGTCTTTCAAAGAACCAACAGTCTTTCAAAGAGTTGCCTCAGTATTGGTAGAACGGGTTTAAAATTTTTGGTTGCTAGTCCTAATTCGAGCAAATAAAGCGAGAGAGCTGGCTTACAATACGTTATTTTAATAATATAAAAGCCACAGTAGCCTAAATTAAGCCGTGAAACCTCAAGTAAGCTCGAGTAAAGTTAGGTTTTTGAGATTGTAGCGCCCATCGGATTCAAAAACTAAAAAAATCTAAAAAAACGGTTAATTTTTTCGTTTTATTTGTATTTGCTGATTTTATTTGGCTGATTTTACTATATCTGTCGAATATTTTTTTGTTCAGTTCTTGATTTCATCGCGCAGAAAAAGCGACACTACTTAAAAAAAATGCTGTATTTTTCTTAACTATGATCGGATTTTGTACTACTGTCCTTATTTTTCGATTCTTTTGTTCTATTAGTTTTTTTCTCGTAAAATATAAAAAAAACTAATAAACAAATAAATATGAAAAACACGTGAAAAATGTGAAGGTTATAATTTAGGACCGCGTGTATCTCTTTAGTTTTCTAATGAAATGTCCTTTTCTGGTTTTATTGTGGATCTTGCCAAAAAAGATTTAAGTTTTGTTAATCTTCATGATTGAAATTGAGGCAGATCTTTGGACTGTTTCATCCGTCTGCAATATATATAAATATTTAAGTCGCCTCTGGAATTTTTGATAGGCGATTTTTTGTAGTTGTTTCAATTTTCACCCTGCAATTGGATTACACTTATTATCTTAAATGGTGCAAATTTCACCCTGCAATTGGATTACACTTATTATCTCAAATTGTGCAAACTTTCGCCGCGTTGCTCCATGAAATATTTAAATCGTGGTTTTATCTGATCAAAAAAAATAGAAAAAACCCTGTTTTTTATTGATTTCTTCGCCTGGAGTAAAATAGTCAATTATTTTTGTTTTGCTTACACCGGAGCTTTGTATATAATCTCACGTCTAATTTGGTGTAACTAACTGCGTTGCCCCTGTGCAAACAAGTAAAAACCACTTTTTTTTTACCCTTTCAATAAGCAAGGGTGTTGAAACAGGGCACTAGATTTTTTTGGAGTGAAGAATTTTGTTCACAGAATGAACAGATGATAAATGTGAAAAATACTAATTTAATAGCATGATTGGAATGTACTGTTTGCATTTGTTGAAAGTGAACGCAGTCAGTTGCAAATCAATTATTATCTGTGCTGGAATAAGTCGGTCGTTTTAGGCGCCAAAATTGGTCGGCCTTGTTTCTGTCGGCTTCTTTTTCTACTGTTTTTTAAATTTTTTATTTATTGATATCAAATGATAACAGTATAAATCTAACAAAAAAGCTAAAAAAGACTATTTTTAAAGCTTTTTGATAAAATTTACAAAATAAACATGAAAATTATTTTTTTAAGAAATTTTTTAAAAACTATTTTCTTTCGATGTTTCATTTAAAAAACATGATTTGGTTTTAGTTCGTTTAATAATTTTGATGACGACCTTTGTTGTCAAATTGTAGTAAACATTCAACCGTGACAAATTTTTTAAGTGCGTGTTCGCGTTGTATTTATCTTATCTGTCTTCAAAATTTAATTTTTGTAGGATGGTTGCTATTATACCAACTCGATTTGTTCAAAAACGATTTTTTTCTTTTCCCTCTCTTTTTGCTTTGATAGGTCTTGCCCCATATTATATCAATTTACTCGCCCCATTTTGCGTCTTTCTAAGAGCGAAAAAAAAGTTTTTGTGTACATGTGTGTGGTTTGAGGGTGATGGGTCTTGATCACTTTTCACTAGTCTTAAACATGTTTGATTTTTTACTTTCTTTTTTTAACGTTTTAGGTATCGGTTTTAAATATATCTGCTTAGTTGTTTCATTTTGTTTCATTTAATAAGTGGACAAAGTTGTAAGGTCAAATTATGTATGGAAGGATGAGGAGATTTTAAAAATTTGCAAGAGTCGTAAGTCTTGCTGATATTTTTTTCGACTTAAATGGTTTCTGCTGAAGTATTTTCGGCTTTGTAACCTCGGTTTTGTAGTAATTTTTTTGATGCTTTTTCACAAATTATTTTCTTGGCATGTTTTTGTTTCAAAACTAGTCTTATTTATTTTGATACATGTAGTTTTTCGACATTTTTGAATGTTTTTTCGATTTTTTGAAGAAGCGGCTTTCTTGTTTTGTTAATCCGACCCTTTCAGACTTTTTTGATACAAATAAGTTTTTTTCCAGACTTATTTTGCAGGTCAAATCAAGACTGAAAAGGCTCGAATAGATGTAGCATCTGGATTTTTCCTCGCTTCTCCCAAATTTTCCTATTACGAGGCAAAACTTTGTACTGGAAACGCGCGCAATTCGGTGTTTGTTGGTCTCTGGAATTCAAAACAAGATTGAAATATGTAAATAAATTGACGATAAGATTAAAAAAAAACGAAATAACAAAAGAAGAAAAAAAAGAGCGCCCTTTTTGCGGAATCAGCTCACAATTAAAAAATATACAGTTTGGCCTCGTAATGCCCATTGGTGCTTAGAAATACCATCTTTATCTCTATGAACAAATCAAAAACAGTTTAAACAAGTTTTTTGCTAAAAATCAGTTTGAGCGATATCCGGAAGCTTCAAAAAACAACCTTCTTTTGAGACATAAATTGACACGTAACTATCTCTTGACCATTAGCTGCAATGAAAAAAGTGGTCTACACTTACTTTGCCCCTCCTAAACACAGTGGCGCGTTTCGCACCGAATATTCCACCCACAGTTTCACAATAAACGTGCGGCGAAATGGGTGAGGGGCGAAATGGGTGGGGGGCGAAATTTAAATTTGAAATTGAAAGGGGCTAGGTGCGCGAGAATCAAAACGTGCGAAATCCAAGAAAGCAAGCAATGGCTCTGCTGCGCTTAAAATTGCAAGAGTGGTAAACTTTGCGTGAGTTAGATCTCAGCTAGTCTGTTTTGCTTAAGAGTCAGAGAGTGCAGTGAAGGTGGTGACTTAGGTAGTGCTCGTTATAGTGATGCTCTCCACAAAATTTTAAACCCAAGGTACAAAATGCGACTTAAAACCTCGTTTAGTTAAAATTATTTCAGTTACGGTTCTTGACTTTCCCATATCTTTATAATCAGATTTTGTTTTTTAAATTTAGGTTAATTTTATTTTTATTATTTGAAATTTTTGATTTAAAAAAATAGATATGGTAAAGTCAAGATCCGTGTCATGAAATTCATGAAATAATCTAGTCTAAAAATTAAACTCCAGTCTGCATCTCGAGTCGAGAATTTTTCCCACTCACAGTTTTCACCCCTCTTAATTTTAAAGGCAAATTTCGCGCCCCACACATTTCGCCCCGCTTTCATTACGGGACTGTGTATGGAATATTGGAGGCGAAATCTGCCATTTCCTTTATGAGGGGCGATGAACAAATTTTTTTTTGATAATCGAAAAACGTGAACTTTCAGGCCAGTTCGACGTAGAAATCCCCGCGACACAGAATGAAAGGGAGCGTTCTCGGAATTGCGCTGGTAATAACACCCAGTTATGACCAACTGTTGTTCATTCGGGAAAAAAACGAACCATACCACAGAAATGCGATCCTAAGAACCCTGTCACAATTCAGAACCTAGTCACGACTAGGCAAGGATAATAGCCGAATATCTGGAGGCAATGGTAAAACCAACAAATGTCCAAAAACCTCAGCGCCAATTTTACACCTTTTAAATAAGACACAAATTGTACATATCTTTCATGTCAGAAAACTCATATCAGCCTTCACAATAGCTCCAAATGATGAGCTACTGTTGGACTTTGCAGGAACCGTAATTGGCAAAAAGAACCTAAACAAAAAAGTTTTTAGGTTCTCAAAATTGCCGTCCGTCATACATGCGAAAAACATTTGCGTGATTTTGTTTTGGTTAAATTTCAGCATTTCGAAATCTCAAGGCTGATGAAAAAATCAGAGGACACTGATTTTAAAGAAATTGAAGAAAATTATATCTAGCACCTGTGATTACATCATCGAGTTCTTTTAAACCTTATGTGTTTTAGGTATTTTCAGAATTTGATTTCTCCGTCGACTATTTTCTGTTTAACTTGCTCGTCCATTTGCAAGTACTGTTTAGTTTTCATGTCGTAGTAATAGACGCTTTCGAGGTGTTCGGCGGGTACGTCTAGAAAACCCTCCTTGACAAGTTCTGTCTTCTTCAGTTTGTAAGTGCCCGTCAAGTAGTGCTCACTTTGGTCTAGCAGACGAAGGAAAAGAGGCCGCGCATACGAAGCCAGATTCTGAAAATGGATAAAACTTGTTAAGTCTGCAAAACGTTGGCCTTTCATTTCACTTTTTAGTAATTTTATGGCTTTATAATTCTTCACATAGATTTTTTGTTTACTAGGCTTTCCTTTTACTAGGCTTTACTAGGTTTTCGATGAGTCTAAGTGGAAAAAACAGAGTTGCATATCAACCACAATCAGGAGCGAAGTTTTGGAAGGGAAAAGCGGTGAAACACTCAATTTTTTAGTGTCAAAATCTTTCAAAAACACCCAAGCAGGGGCGGATTTAGGGGGGGGGGGCGGAGCCCCCCCTCAGGGATTCGACCCCCTGCCGACCCAAAGGGTCCCTCTTTGATACTTTTTCAGAAATCCCTTTTTGGCCGACCGACCCTAAAATTTTTCTAAAGGCGCCTTTGGCGCCAATATATACTAACTTTGAGGGGGAGCGCGCGCCAAAAAAACGCTATTTTTTTGTCAAAATTTTTCAAAAAGTGCCCAAAAACGGGCAAAAATAGGGGCAAAACAGTGCTTTGGGAGAGCTCGAAAAATCAATTTGGTCGACCTAAAAAAAAAAAAGTCGTCAAAATTTTGGAAAATTTTTTGAAAATCCGCCCCCCCCCCTCGAGAAAATCCTAGATCCGCCCCTGCACCCAAGTGTATCTTTTTTCCTTTTTTTCCTAGGAGAGCAAAGAAACTGAGTTAGTTTGAAAAAAAAAGTCGAGAAAATGTTAATTTTTCAAATGCAATGCGTCACTGCTCACTCTGTTGATGACGACTGTGAGAAGTGACAGGTCGAGGTCTTTTTGATCATCCAGTATGGCTGCCATGCCCGCCCGCCCGTCGCAATGCGGCAACTCCACTCCGAACACGATCACATCTTTGTGGCCCACAGCCGGAAACATTACTGCCTCCACTTCTACGGAACACAGAACAAAAAAGTAGCAATAATACTCATAATAACACTACTTCCGGAAATATGGTATAATAAAAATGGAAGAAGTCCGCAAAGCGCCGGAGCCCCCGAAAAAATAGACCTTAGCGGACGTCGATGACATACATGGATTGGAGAACCATAAGCTTTGATATTTTTTTGGTATCAGTCGGAAGTTCTGTCAAAAATAAGGCCATATTTAGTGCTTTTTTGATAATCGGGTCCAAAAATAATAGATTTTTTTTAAAAGGTTCTCTTCTCTTTAATCTGATTCCACATATTACTAATTCAGCACGGTGCATAGTCTCTACATCTAATCACAAGCTTATTGTTCCGACTTTCGTAAGGAAAGTAACAGAGTATTTGTGCTCGGGGTGGGTTTTTTTTCTTCAGACAAATTTCGACTTTTTAACTAGCCATTTTTGACGGATTTTTTAAAATATCATTCGAAAGTTTTTGTTGTCCTGAGCCTAATTTTGAAAAAAAAAAACATTTCACCTGTGATCATTTTTTGTAAAGTTATGGGGGTTTAAGAATTGCCATTTTGGCCAATTTGGGACAATTAACGCGCGATATATTTCGCGCTATTAACGCGTAAGCGGAGATTTAATCCGTCTTAAAAATTGTTCCAACTTTGTTGAAAGTGCTTAAATGTGATAATTGATTTGCTAATAGCAGGAAAATCTATCGCTTTGTACCTAATATGGCGTGTGGGGGGATGTATTTACAAAAAATCTCAAATTAAACTAAAAAATTTAATTTTATTCATTTACATTTGACTTTTTTCATGTTGTTACTGCTCCATAGACCTTAGAAGGCCGTCGGAACAATCAGGGCTTCGCCCTGATACGAGCAGTCTTGTTGTTCCGACTTTCGATACAAAAGTAACGGAATATTTGCGCTCGGGGTGGGTTTTTTTTTCTTCAGACAAATGTCGACTTTTTAACTAGCCATTTTTGACGGATTTTTTTCTATATCATTCAAAGAGTATTGTTGTCTGGAGCTTAAATTTGAAAAGATTTTTTACCTGTGATAATTTTTTGTTTAAAGATTGCCATTTTGGCCAATTTGGGACAATTAACGCGCGATATATTTTGCGCTATTAACGCGTGAGCGGAGATTTAATCCGTCTTAGAAATCGTTCCAAATGGTTGAAAGAAGCTTATTTGTCGTAATTTATTCGTTAGCAATGAGCAAAATCTAGTCTTTTGTTCTTTGTATGGCGTGTGGGGGGATGATTTTGTTTAAAAAATTCAAATTTTAGAGAAAAAAAATTTTGTTTCTTTTATTACATTTAATTTCTTTATGTTACCACTGCTCGATAAACCTTAAAAGGCTGTCGGAACATTCAGGGCTTTGCCTTGATACGAGCAGTCTTGTTTGTATTCAAGTCAATTGCGTTCACTCGAGCATTGTTGGCAAGCAGCAAAAATTTAGTTTCATTCTACGTACGCTCTTTTCGTGTGGTCCAATTTAAGAAAAACGCTTTATTCCTGCTGTCCAAAAACGCTGTGTTCGAACAGTTTGAAATTGTTTCAGATGGGAGAATTCAATAAATATTTGTAGTTTTCAAGGTAATTTTTGTTCCTGATTTGTCACCCAGGTCACAAATATGTTTAAAACATTGACAATTAATTGGTGAAATAAAATTAACCACAAAATTGATGGCTGTAGTCTCAGAGTAGAAATCGCTGTAAAATAGCTCAACTTTGGTCTTAGTTCTGCGAATTCGTGATAAAGACTCGTCTTATTCGCCCGAAAGTTTTTTCATTCGGTTATTGCCTTTTTATTATGACAAAAAATCAGCATGGAAGCTGCTGCAAACAATTTGAAAACCTTCGAATGGCCATTAATTTAACATAACTTTTGTTTCTCGTTTTTTCATCTCTTTTGTAACATCAAAAATAGTTGTTGTCGAGAAAAGGAAATTCTAGGTCAAATGACAAATGAAGATAAATCGTTGATCAAAAACACAACTCAAGGCTTCTGACGGTCCCAGAAACTGAATAAAAAAATTCGTGAAAAAATCCGTGTGATAGGTTTTAATGCATTAATGATTTTTTATCAAGACAAATCTGGGTGAATGAAAAACCAACAAAAAAATCCAGGAACAAAATTTTAAAGGAAAGCAGAGCCGTTTATGAATCTATTTCAGTCGACTTATTGCACTATCATTTCAAATTTTGGGTCATTTGGATGTTTTTGTCATGGAAATTACACAATCATTGGAAAATCACTATATAAAAACTGTTGTGAATTTCATTTTAAAATGAAGACTCTTAAACATATTTTGATATTTTTTCCCTTTAAATATACTCCTCTAGCCTGAAATGTTCCAATTATAACCTTAAATTAAATAGATTTTATTTTGACTAGGCGTAGAATATGATTTTGACATTCTACCAGATGTTGATTTTGACATTCTACCCGATCACTTTTTGTTGTTTGTCTGCAAGTTTTTTAGAAATAGGCTTGAATTTTGTAACATGCTGAATGAAATTAACTGGAAAGAGTTAAAGGAAAAGGTTAAGAGTAAAGAGTTTACAAAGTTAGTTTTCAAGGCATCAAATAACCATGTAACCATAACTATTTTTAGATGGGATCTTGCTGTGAGAACGTATTAACAGACATCACAAATTATTTTGTTTGTGCTCAAATTTGTTCTTTGCAAAGTTCATGCGCTTGCCCGACTCTTTCTGCCACGGAAAAATGATAGACCGACATTTAAAGGTCTCGGGCTTTTATCCCAGAAGGTTTGACAAAATTTACAGATAGATTTGCTGATGAGAATTTTGAATATAGATTGCAGCAACTATTTTTCAAAAATATTAGCGGGATAATTTTTTTAGGATTATTTCAATCTTCAGTGAAGAAAATCTCTACATTTTTTTAGTCATGTTTCACGCCAAACCAAGTAAATATTTCAACTTTCGTCAGCCAAGTTTCTGTGGCATGAAGATTAATGCAAGCTCGTCAGCTTCGCAATAAAGTTATCCGAGCCAATAAACTCATATTCTTTGTGTTGTCTGCCAGTATGTTTCCACGGAAAGATTTCCGCTTAGACTTGTCATAAATTAATATCTGTTTTACGCCTTCAAAACAAGATGTCGTTCAAGCTAGCTTTTTCAAATAACTTTGTTCGGCCTTTAACGAAATTTCAACCCTATATCTTGAATAATTGGAGAAAAAACGACACAAACGTGGAGAGCAAGTTTTTTCAATTGCTGGGTGTACTCTAACTATAGGTACAAATTGAGGTGTCATTTGGAGCTGCACTATGTGTTTTCCATTCATCTCTGGGGCAGGGCGACAATTTGTAACAGACGATTAATTATGAGGCCAAACTATGCACTGGATATGCGCACAATATTGTGTCGGTAGGCTCCTGGATTCAAGAGACAAATCTTCAAACATTTTAAAGTTTTATCGGAACGCTCAAAGAAAATGAAAGAACAAAATAAGAAGAAAGGGAGCGTCTGTGTCGTGGAATTCGCTTTAAATTCACAAAATACTCAGTTTGGCCTCGTAATGGAGTTCGTAATAGGCGTCAGTTCGTAACAGGCGACAATGCGAAACAAGGCAATGGCAAGTGAAATACATTCGGCACGAGAGGAATATTCGCATAAATTATTGTTTGCCCCTTAAATTATTGTTACGAATTGCCGTCTCTTACAAATGGTCTCCGGTTACGAGTTGTCGCTTCATACATCTCTGGATTCCACACCCGAGAGAAGATCAAACAAAATCAGCCTTGTAGTGGAATACACTAAATTGATTTTTTTCTCATGGATTTCCCTGTCTGCCGATTCTGCAGTTTTGCCACACAACAGTCACAGGATAGGCATATTGATGTGGAGAATGCAGAAGACTTTTTTATAAACATCTATCAATATTAGAGAGGGGTTGGTGAGAGTAGAAAAAGAGAGGCCATTTGAATTACCTGTAGTGGAAACATTCTCCCCCTTCCACCTGAAAGTGTCCCCCGTTCTGTCCTTGAAGAAGAGAAAGCCCTCCCTGTCCATGACCAGAGTGTCCCCCGAGAGGAATGCCAGGTCCCCCTTCCTGAACACATCTCTCGCTATCTTCTTCTGCGTCTCGTCCTTCGCAACATATCCGTCGAACTTGCTGATAGCGTCATTCGCAATGATTTTGCCCACTACTTGACCTGGCTCACCTGATAAACAATCTAGATATGTTTTAGTAGTCACCCTCCGGGTTTGGCCTCTCTTGGTTTACAAATGTAAATCATAAACTGCTCGGCGAGGAAAAAGTCGAATACTAGAGTATGATTTAACGAGATTAAATCACGCAATTATAGATAAGCACAGAACTTATTCTGAAAAACCTATCTAAGTTTTTATTTGTTGTGTGAAGTTACTTTATGGTTTAATCCGGCAATGAAAAAAATGTGTTTGATGGAATTGTTTCTTTTTCCTAGTCAAAACTGGCTCAGCACGACGGTGTTGGCGCAAAAACTACAACACGTTTTTTCTTCAAACCAATCCAGTTATGTTTCAGGCGTTTCGACCAAAGTTGGGTAAAAATCTACTTTTCGGTCAATTTTGATCTACCGAAGCCATATATTTTTCGACCGTTTTGACCGGATTCGTGTATGTTACGACTTTCTCGGCCGGAGAATTCTAAGCTTCACTTCGTTAGACAGAAGCCAGATATAACAAAACCTATCTTGAAAGAGAATTTTTTTGCCGAGCGTCGACACTGAGCTCGACTTTCAATTTTAAATATGAAAAGTGAGTTCCTCGACCTGGGTAACTCAACTGAGTTTTTATTGGTTATTTTTAAAATAATTTTATCGCACCTGGTTTGCACTTGACACACACTCCTTGTGCATCTCTTATTAAACTTCCCTGGGGGTCCACTTTGACAAGTGTGATCGGGAAGACAGAGGGGAAGAGACGACTAAAGAATCCACATGCGCCCTCCCTCTGTGATAAGTTGATGGTGTTGGCGTTTCCTTCAGTCGA